AGAAACGAGATCTTTTGCACTGACGACATTACGTAAGTTTGGATTTGGGAGACGTTGTTTGAAAAGTCAGATCATGGAAGAAGTAGATTGTCTGATGGAGAAATTGGAACAAAATGAAAACAAGGTTTTTGATATTCAAAATGTACTGAAAGCATCCACAGCTAACGTTATTTGTTCGCTTTTATTCGGTAGAAGGTTTTACTATGATGATGCAAGATTCAAGCGTTTAATTGATCTACTGTCGAAGGCGTTTAGCAGCATCAGTACATCTTCACCGGTTTTTCTTTTTCCATCTTTATGCAACATCAGGATTTTCAACATCGACCCACTTTTAGAAAATAGGCTTGCTTTAAGAGCATTTGTCAATGAAATGATAGATGAACACAGAAGAAAGTTTGACGAGGACCACATCAACGATTTCATCGATGCTTTCCTTCTGGAACAAAAACAAAGATCAAATGAAATCAACACTACTTTCACAGGTAATGCGACTTTTTAAAAAAATTCTTTTTATCAATAAAAAATGGGATTAAGGAGGAAGGATTAAAGGGCATTTAATTGTCAAATTTCAGGAGATCTTGGAAATAAATGGAGAGTGAATTCATTCCTTATCTATTTAACATGACATTGTAGTGTATTATGTCAAATATATATATACAAGGTTGTTACATAAAATGTTGCTTTCCTGTTTTGATATTGATATCACGAAAAATAACACATATACAAAAAAGAAAATCCTCAAATATAGACCAAAAAGTCTAAAATCTACTCATTTTAGTCGATGCGCAATATTTTAAACTAAAATTAATTGACCAAATTATCACTATAAATTACGAAACATCGGCTTTTTTCTAGATTCTTTGAAACACACAAGTGACTTATTGGATCTTCTTCCGTCCGTCTGCGCGCTACTGAATCACTCAACCAATTTCAACTCAATTTGGTGAATACTAGTAGCATTTTATATTACTGGGTAAAGGAGAATATATATTTTTATAACATGGTATCTGCTCTCTGAGGCCAAAAAGGCTCAAACCATTCAATTTAGATTATTACATTTCTTTTAAAAAAATCTTCTTTACAGCCAATAATCATCCCATCAATCAGTTTATGATTGTAAAGGTGAAGGTTTCTAAATAAAGGGTTGAGCTCTACTAATCTGTTTGTAAAAATACATTAATTTTTTTAAAATCTTTCCTAAATGAATAAGAGACAAACTAATCGTATATTAACATTTTTAAAGTAAAACTATCATTCTCTGTTAATTTAGTTTGACTTCGTATATAACTATCAAATTTCCATTCCAAGGTTGTTTCATAATCAGGGCTTCTTTTTAAATGCAGTACATGTGTACATCTACATTTGCAGCCAAAAATCTGAACCAAGTTTTAAGAGACTTCTTTGCGACAGGAACCGAGACTACTTCTACAACACTTAGATGGGCGCTTCTGTACTTGATCCATTATCCACAATGGCAGAAAATACTTCAGAAGGGCATTGATTATGTCATCGGTCAAGGTCAGCCTAAAATGGAACACAGTGAAAAACTGTCCAGGGTAAAGGCGTTCATTTTGGAAGTTCAGCGCCTGGCAGACATAATTCCCATGAATTTACCACATGCCGCCAGCAAGGATTTCGTGTACGAAGGACACCTCTTTCCCAAAGGGGTCTATGTATTTTGTGTTTTAGATTCTGTTATGTCGGATCCTGAAAGTTTTCCTGATCCTTGGAAGTTTAAACCGGAGAGGTTTATTGATGATAATGGGCGTTATCAAGAAGAACTGAAAAAATCAAACTAATTCCCTTTTCCATAGGTACATGGCGTAAATGTAGGGGAAAATTTAACAATTTGGTACACAAAGAGGGCGATTCAAAGAACATATTTCTTTCAAGAAGGATATGGAAATAACGAACAGTATTCAATCTCAACGTCCATTAAACAAATATACAAATAAGAGCTGAGCAAACACGGACCCCCGAAACATCAGAGGTGGGATCAGGTGCCATGGAGGAGTGAGCATCCCCTGCCGACCGGTCACACCCGCCGTGTCCTCGTTGTCATAATCAGGAAATAACGGAAAAATCTGTGGTCAATTCAGTGTATAAATAATGGACTAACAATTGGTATGAAAAACGTCAGTCAGCATTTCATTCAATGATAAATTATATTTGCTGACAAGGTCATTGTATCGACCATAGAATTTACGAAATGATGACTTTAAACGAGACTTTTGATATTCTTGTATCATCAACTTGTTTGTCAATAATTTACCTCGCTTAAGAAATTGTTCATACGTAGAGCATGCTCTTGCGTATCGAATCAACTGAGATATATATTCTCCGTATGCAGGTGATAAAGTGTACAGATCTATTCTGAAGTTGAATAACATATCAATAAAAAAGATTCCTTGAGAACTTATTAGAACACATAAATAAATATTTCTTTTATCTACTTATACAGGACGCAGAGTATGTCTGGGAGAATCGCTTACCAAAATGGAGCTTTTCTTATTCTTCACCAGATTTCTACAGAAGTTTGAGATAAAACCAGAGGATCCCGAGTGTTTGCCTTCTCTGGAAGGATCATTGGGTGTTACTAACACGCCAAAATCCTTCAATCTGAGACTTGTAAAACGTTAGAACTTCATGTATGTTCACTGAGGCAGGTGGAAGAATTTTTTTTTCTTATATTACAAATGAACGGTTATGAGTGGTTGTTAAAATTAATCTCAGATAATTCACAAAATATTGTCTTTGAGTATGCATGAGCGGTGGAAAGAATGAAGGCGTTAAAGCAAAACTAAAATGAACCCATACGGAAAAAAGGGCAAACAAACTACTATAACAAATTACTAACAAACCACTATGGTTTGAAAGTAGTTTAATAGTATAGCGTTCACATGCAAATGAGCTAACAAACTATACTCTAACAAACTACTATCAAACCACTCTCAACAAACTACTATCAAACCACTCTTAACAAACTACCTTCAAACCACTCTAACAAACTACTATCAAACCACTCTTACAAACTACTATCAAACCATTCTAACAAACTACTATCAAACCATGCTATCAAACTACTATCAAACCACTCTAACAAACTACTAAGAAATCACTGGTAACAAATCCATTAGCAAAACACTAAATTTGAATTTTCCTTTACAAATCCACAAGTCTTTGAAAACACCTAAAACAATCACATTTTGAAACATATTTCAACAAGTCTTGTTTCAGAGTATTTAAATTCCAGGATTCACAAGTTTAGTCAATGCAAGTGCAACATTCCAACATGTTCCCTTTTGTTTAGGAGCTAGATGCAATTCCAAGTCAATGTCCATGCACTTATCACATATTCTCCTTCATGTTGTGTACATCATCATATTATTTTTCACCAAAAAAGTTCTTCAGGCTGACATTTAAATATTCCCTGCTTCATCTGGCATGTAAAATGCTTTAATATTTCCTTTTTTCTGGCCTCATTGCAACTTTGAAAGACATCTGTTTTGTCTTTTTTTCAAATATACTTCCCATAATCCAAAGCATAACTGATCTAAACTAGTATAGGAATTAAAGGTCAATCTGAAAATAAATAAAAACCCAAAGCTAGTAAAAAGCATACGCATCCACATTCACAGAAGGTTAATTACTTCATAGCATGCATTAAATACCTCTTCTGAATCAAGATCCATCTTTTAATAATGTTAATTGCTGCTTTTTCCAGTCAGGGATCTTATAGAATGATACTAACAATTTGAATGTCCCTTCATCAGTTCCTTTGTTTCTGACCTGCTGGTGGTTTTAAAATTGGCGCAAATAGCGAACACCAGATGTAAAGAGATAAACTGTTCTTGGAAACTTCAACAATTCTAGATAATTCAACCCTAAACACGTCTGTAAAGTAATTTCCCATGTGGATAGATGCAAATGCTATACTAATAAAACACTGTTGCAAGATACCAAGTCTAACAAACTATATAGAAATCACAATCACCAGAAATGAAAGACTAACAAACCACAGCAGCTATTTTTAGAAAAAGTGGTTTGTTAGTGGTTCATTAAATGCTATACTATCAAACTACTTTAACAAACCACAAAAATATAGTTTGCTGGTAGTTTGTTGATGTTTTAATAATAGTTTGTTAAAAATCTTTTCCGTTTGGGAAATTACATACCGTTACACAAATAACAGCATAACATACTTTCATAAAATTACCAGACACAGCCACAAAATCATCATACTTATTGCAAAACATTGAGTATAATCCAAATGAAAGAACATTTCTATTCTTTATTCCTTATTCTAAATTACGATTCTTTAAGCGAACATCACATGAATAATTTTGTTAAACGTTAATTTCCGATGATTGTTTTGCCAAGATATTGAATCTTTGGTTATTAAAATGGAAAATGTTATAGTTATCAGCAGAGTTTCAAAAATGCAAAATTTATTTTTTTTATAGCATATAAAAACCATGGAATATTTGAAAAGAGGTTCATAGGTCAATCCCATTGTAACAAGTCAGTAGCCCCGGTATTTTTACAAAACCACATTTCAAAGAAATTATCTAAAAATCAATTTCCTACTTCTTTCATCTTATAAAGTGTGACAGACTGACAAAAAGACAAATACAATAGGCAGATGCCAGGAAAATAATCCCTTAGTGTCGCTCTGCTCTAAAAGCGCCACGCATAAAGAGAAAGTAGACAAATAGAGTTTTGGCACAGAAATGCAACCATACAGCAAAGTTCAATGAATGTAGGACGCCATATAAAATATTTTGCACTATGTGGATAACACTGGCCTTTGAAAGGTCATTATAAATTGTAAAGCATAATTAGGTATATATATTCTTTGAGAAAATACATATAAATTTGCTTAATATTAATATTGGACTATAAGCGGCCTTCAGCGTTGAAATTTCTAATCTTCAATTTTAGCACAGTAATGCAACCATACATTAGGAGTTCAATAAAAGTAGGTAACTGTATTTTGCACTATGTGGGAGGCGTTAACTATTGTTGTCGTACTACTTTCCTTGTTATGGTGCCTGTCTGGACGACCAAAAGGACTTCCGCCTGGTCCTACATGTTACCCCATCATCGGCAATGTCGGACTCTTCAAACCATCAGAGGCTGTGACAGCTCACAGGAGACTGAGGAAAATTTATGGAGACATCTATACCATAATGATCTTCCATAAACCTATTATATTTGTACATGGATTCGACAACATACGGGCATTACTGGTCAAACATGGCGATGCTACCTCTGAGAGACCAAGATTCCTTTCCAGTGATTTAGCTCAGGGAAATGGTAAAACAATAGCACATTAGTTTAAGATAACAATCTAATGGACATATGAAAAGACTAAGTCATACAGAGTACCGATAGCCGGTATGGTTATAAAGAACCTTTAATTTTTATGCGCCCGGATCGATAGATCCGAGGCGTATATTGTTTTTGTTCTGTTGGTCTGTATGTCTGTTTGTTTGTTTTTTGTTTGTTTGTCAGCAACCATTAACCTTCGTCATAACTTTTGAACTATGTAAAATAGACTTCATATTTATAATGCATATTCTACTAATCAAGTTCTTTTAAATGACACTAAGGTCAATGGCCATGTGACCTTGACTTTTTTCGAACTTTGTTCCCGCCAGGAGCAAGTGTTTCACAAACACATCTTATTTTTAATGAACAGTAGATGAAATGCCGTGCAAGCGCAGGAAATTTTTATTGATTAAAACCATTTTTAACAGGTATACAGTCTTATAGAAGAAAAAAATACGTAATTAAGATCCAGCGAGAAGTAGATATACGTTACAACCGACACTCACTTTTGTAAATCTTGAAAAAGAGTAACAAATTCACATTTATGTGAAACCTGTTATAGAATGTTAAAATTATAGATATTGTAATCCATATAAACTTATTTTATTTCTGTGAAAAATAAAAGTAGCGAATATTCACAATTTAGCGATAAATTGATTTTTTTAGGAGAAATTGGTGGTTATCAAGTGGAAATGCATTTTCTCTTTGTAACTCTGATCTATGTTTGGGTATAAAGTAACCAAATTTAAGTATGGTAAGTGTATAGTTATGATAAGCATTTTTGCCTCTTTGAAAATTGTGAATTTCACGGCTTTTGGATTAACCAAATTCAATTGTTGGAAAGTTGTTACATAATACTCAGGTGACCTTTAAGGCCCGTGGACCTATTGTTTCTTTTAACAACTGACCCGATGCTATATGCTGTTCTAGAAAGTTCCATTAATATTGAAATCATTATTCTGTGTTTATTCAAATTTCTAATTTTTATTTCCTATAAAGGTGTGTTTTGGGCATCAGGATCGAGGTGGAAAGAAACGAGAGCTTTTGCACTGACGACATTACGAAAGTTTGGATTTGGGAAACGTTCTATGGAAAGCCAGATCATGGAAGAAGTAGATTGTCTGATGGAGAAATTGGAAGAAAATGAAAATGAGGCTTTTGACATTCAAAGTGTACTGAATGCATCCGTAGCTAACGTTATATGCTCGCTTTTATTCGGTAAAAGGTTTGAGTATGAAGACACGAGATTCAAGCTTTTAATTGACCTGTTGTCCAGATCGTTCAGCAGTGTCACTTTGTCTTCTCCAGTTTTTCTTTTTCCATCTTTGCGGCACACCGGCATTTACAAAATTGACATATATTTGGAAAATGTTAATGCTTTGAGAGCATTTCTCACGGATATGATAGAGGAGCACAGAAGACATTTTGACGCGGACCACATCAATGATTTCATCGATGCTTTCCTTCTGGAACAAAAACAAGGATCAAACGAAATCAACAATATATTTACAGGTACATGTAATTCACATGTTTTTGCGTAACTTCAGTTTGAAACACATTCATAATCAGTCAAAAAATGTCACTCCTCTTCTGTTGAAAAAATTGGGTCAAAACTTTTTTTTTCAAAATTATTAATTACAATTGATTTTTTATCATGTTCATAACATTTGTGAATTTGACAAAGCAAATTTATCAACATTCAATTTAGAATAACGCTCAAAAGTTCCTCAAAACCTATTTATGAAGACCTTTCATGTTGTCAAACTTTAGGGATTTTCTTTTAATTTTAAACCTATGCATTTGATGTACACTTAAAAAAAGTTTGCCCTAGAAATTTGAACTGAAATTTTTATCATTATACGCTTGGAATTTTCAATTTACTTAAATGTTATTACTATAACAATTTTAAATGAAATAAAAAATTGCTGATATTTTGAAAATGAAAAAAAAACAAAACTTTTTCTTAATTGTCTTAGTGGGGAGTAAATAAGAGGCTTAATTGAACATTTATTGGAACCCGCTATGCCTCTTAGTTTGTAAGGGCTTTTATGATGTTTCGGAATCCAATATATATTTTGCAATTCAAATTCATTCTGATTGTTCGGAATATTGAAAATATTCAAAACTGAAATATGTTGTAGTAGAATTTCTTACCACTTGTAGAACTGAATCCAAGTTCCTCTAAAATACTTTTAATATAAAGAGCCTTACAAAGATAATATTGCTATTTGGAGACCAGATCACGGAATCAATGTAAATCTTTTTTCACCTCTGGATTATCAAATACATAAGCGTAGTTGGTTTTCATATTGCCCCTCAATCTTCTAATGCGCGATTTTAACATACATTTGATATATTTAATACATTTTGACAAAGTGTCAAGGTCTTGTTTTTCATGTAAAGCGCATTGCCTGGTTAAATCCTCTATAGAATTTATGATATATTGTGAATTCCGATGCCTCTTTTATTAATCCAAGATTCTCATTATTATGTTTTCGTCACCAGTAGCAACGTGTCCAGCAGGACTCTATTTATAGGTTGAGGAAGATTATAAACACGATAGTTATGTTTCAGATATTCCGTATCAAGGCACTGTAAAGTATTTTTGTAATTAATAGGTTTGGATGCAATGGTCGATGTATATTAGGAAATACAAGATGTAGTCTTTTACTTGAAATATATGTGACATACTTTATTCTTGTGTTTTAGTTCGTTAATGGTGCGGAAAGTACCTTTTTCACATAACTGTATACAGTGTATTTTTTTTTTTAAATTATGAATCAATACAAGTGTGACCATGTTACATGTATGTCCTATAGAATACAAAATATTACTATTTTGAAACATCATTGATATAATACACGATTTTCTTTTTTTATTACAGATGAAAATCTGAACCAAGTTTTGAAGGACTTCTTTTCAGCGGGAACAGAAACTTCGTCCACAACCTTGAGATGGGCGTTTCTATTTTTATTCCATAATCCGCATTGGCTGAAAAAACTTCAAAAAGAAATTGATGACGTCATAGGTCAGAGACAACCAATGATGGAGCACAAGGATCAATTGCCATTAGTAGAGGCATTCATTCTGGAAACTCAGCGACTTGGAAATACTACACCTCTGACGGGTCCACATGCAGCCCAGGAAGACATGACGTACAACGGACACCTCTTTCCCAAAGGTGTCACAGTACTGTTTCTTTTGGATTCCGTATTAATGGATCCAGAAATGTTTCCCAAACCTTCACTGTTTAAGCCAGAGCGGTTTTTAGATGACAACGGGAGATGTCGTGGAGACCTTAAAGACAAGTTAATTACCTTTTCAGTATGTAAGAATATGATTTTTTGATTAAAAAAATATATCCAAGAAAAATATATGGAATAGGTATATATTACTGACAATACATTAGATTTTACTGAGCATTACTCAGAAAAAAACTCTTTATCTTTGTAATTTTTTTTTTGATTTTAACAGGGCCGAGGATATGTTTAGGAGAAGCACTTGCCAAAATGGAGCTTTTCTTATTCTTCACCAGATTTTTACAGAAGTATGAGATAAAACCAGAGAATCCCGAGTGTTTACCTTCTCTGGAGGGTAAACTTGGATTAACTTACACACCAAACTCGTTTAAAATGAGACTTTTAAAAAGACAAAACTTAAAAAATTAATCACATTGTAAATAGTCATAAGAAAACAATTTATTATTGAATATCAATATATTTACATTTCAAAATATTTTTGCATATTAAAAAAATGAATTATTTTCTCATACACTACCTTGATGAGCAAGATATTTACATTGTGACGTCATAACACCGTTCTTGACTTCAAATTACAGTCTAAACTGTTTTGTAAAAAAAAAATGATTGTTTAAATTTTTGGCAAGTCATCATACATGTTATCTGAATATAAGACATAAAGTTCTGAGAATGTCGAGGTACATAAATACAACGCTTTACGCCTGCATAGTACATGTTTCTCTCATTAACATCGTTATTCTAGTCATATAAATTCTCAAAATTGAAGTCATTCCTTAAGTAACTGCGAGAACACTTTTCCCACTATATATTTGTATATTTTTTTTAAATATATACTGAAAGGAAAAAGAAACGCAGGGTAAACTTTTAATGTGGATTAAATTAATTTTTCTTTTAATTTTTTTTTAAAGTATCCTATCTAACGTTTAAAATTATCTTTCAGAAAGACCTAACCGAAATCCCATTTGATTTTGTCAAAAAATTCATGAGTTATTGAAGCTCATATGACGATACCCCCAAAAGGGAAAATCGAAAACTCTCATTATTTTCAATGTCTCTACCGCGCATCTGTCATGAGCCTTATATCTCCTTTGCATGGAATTCATCAGAGTGTTTATCTTTCAAACCCTGGCTATATTGGGCATGGGTAACCACGCCAAAACAACATTCATACGACGCGCGCGTGCGCCAGTGAGAGATACACAACAGTAAGTTGATCTGCTCAAAAAACCTAATTGCCGAATTTTATTCTTTTTTTTTTCGAGTGAATGTAATGGTTGTGATAGTCAACTGTTTAAAAGGCGGTTTTTGTGGTAGTAAGGTGGTGATTTAAGAGACGGCAGGACGAATAACCCGCTCGTTACATGACTCTGTTTCGCGTTAACGTCATCGTCACGTTCGATTGAAAACCATTGTAGGCCATCTCTGACAAAGGGTAATAAGTTTATGGGGGAAAATTTACAAAAAACTGCTTACTTACCAATTGTTGCCTTTTTCATTAATTAGGAAATTAAAAAACCAGACTCCATGGAACTTTTGTAAACTATACCAAGATTGCAAGAAATTTATATCGTCTCTAAATATTGAAAAACAATGTGCATACCTCAGGTGCATCAAATGGTGCAACAAAATTTGTTGACAAACTCGTCGACATCAAATTTCACGTGCTTTTGGACTTTTAAGCATTTTCTGAACACTGATTATGGGGCAAAGTAAGTATATTACTCATCTGACCAATTTTCATAATTCTCGATCATGCGGTCAAAAAATTTTCGAATATTATGCTACCCTGCGTTTCTTTCCCTTTCAGTATATATTTCGTCCTGTTCTTATGAACAACATACAAAACTCGAGACAAAACTATTTAAAGGTATAAGCATATGTTCTTATTTCCATTACATGGTATCGCAATATTTCATATACTCAGCTTTGTGATGGAAGAGATTATATCAATTGTTATGGACATGTATTCATGGAATGATTATCTGTTATAAAAATGTTCATCTTAATTAGTTTATTAATCAAAGAACCAGTTTAAAGCAGTCCAAGAGTCAAAACATTTTTTTTTTATTTTTTTAACTTGAGTTAATAATTTTGCAGCTAGTTAACTTGACCACTTTAAATTTTTGGAACCTTATTATTCTGGAGTCATTTAAGCAAATGGAAACTCCAAAAATGAACACGTTATGTTTGATACAATTTTATTAAGAAACCTCCAAGTAAATGCAAGAAGAATGCATATGCTTTACGATGTAATGTCTTATTGTTATTTTTTTTTTTATTATTTTCAAGTTTGGTAATTGAATGTGTTCAGATTTTTTTTTAATTTTCCTTAATCCCGAACCGCTAGCATCATTTACGTGTAATGACGAATAACTTAAGGTATGTCACCCGTTAGCTTTTTAGAAAAGTTCACGCAGAACCTCTTACTTAAAAAATATTTATTAAAATTCAATTTTTATAAAATATTCATATTCAACAATGTAATTTTTTTAACATTCATCGAAAAAACTGCTTAAAAATCTACAAAGAAGCAAGATTTAAGAGGGTTTATTTCTTGTGGTGGAAGGATATTCGGCGGAAATTTCTGCAAATCTGCACATTTATTAAATTAAATATATTGAAACTTTAGCGTCACATACTTTTACTCGGAGAATATTTTCCGTTGTGATATTGCAGGAATATTTAATATGGGTTTTGATTTATATTTTTAGAACAAGTTTTAAACCTTCCCTTAACAAACTTTGCCAAGAAATGAAGATATGTTAAAGAAGTCAAGATAAAATTTACACAATTTTTTTTACCTGAAACTCGCATATATTGACCAATATTTCAAATTTAACATCACTGACCCCAACTTTTTGTTTCATTATTTTAAACTAATCGATACTTGTGACTGATCAGCACTTAACTCCTAAAAAGCTTGATATAAGAAAATATTTAATTGCCTTTTTAGTTTTTTAATACCCCAAATATGTTATTTTTTAGTGCAAAAATGTCAAACAATAATAAACGTGCATTAATTTGCAAGATGTGTTCAATGATAAATATTATTCAAACCATTTTATGTAAAATAAGATTAAACTTATTAACGTAGTAACATCTGATAAAATAAAATTAGAGATAAAGTAATAAATCAAAGAGTTTAAATTTAAGTGCAAAAAGGTCAACTTAATTGTACCATAGATCAGTAGAATGCACACTGACCCCCTATCTTCTCTGCGACTTTGAGTCATACTATTACTTATCCAAAATACACTTCCCAAAAAATCCTTGATTTAACAAAGTTGACGTGTGACTTACCTTAATTTACTTCGACAAAATGAAATTCACTTTTTGCGCCAATGTATCCGGAAACATACAAAATGTGATGTACCTTACAAAAAGAATTTATAATCAAATTAAGACAAATGGAGGGAATATTACTATCATATATATTTTACAGGCAACACATTTTGATAAATAGAGAGAAAATGCACAACATAACAGTTTCACAAATTCCTGGAAATAGGTCAAAGTTCAATGTCAGATTGACTTTACAAAATGCTGATATTTTTCTCCATGTTCTATTACAAGTAGTGCATTTGCCAATAATGCAAAACCTACCTCTAAAAATTCAAAGAATATGTGCAAAAAGACACTATGGAGTATTTTGAAAATTAGTTCATAGGTCATTTCCAATGTCATAGTATTTTACAAATCCATATCTCTAAGCGATACATAGAAAAATCCAATCCCTGCCTCCTAAAGTTAATGATTGTGACAGACAAACTACAAACAGACAGATGCCTGGAAAAATGATCCCTAAGTGTCGCTCTGCTCGAAAGGCGACACGCATAATATAAAATATTATACAAGATAAAAATATAAAATAAAGTAGAAAAAGAGAAAGGAAAAAAATAGTTTTGGCACAGAAATGCAACCATACAGCAAAGTTCAATGAATGTTGGACACCATATAAAATATTTTGCACTATGTGGGTGACATTGTCCATTGTAGTCGTATTGCTGTGTTTTTTTTTTTTAATTTTTATTACCCCATGACATGAATATGGTGATCAATAAGTTTACAGCCAAGGTTGGGGAGCCTTGGATTTTGCAAACTAATTTGACAAACATACATCTTTTGAGATGTGACAGGTGAAGTTTTTATAAACAAAAAAAGAAAAAACAACATTCACACTTCAGTCATACATATATGTGTATGCAAGCTTAATCAACTAAATGATACAAAGAAATTAATTGTTTCTATAGTAAGTAGTTGAAACAGCAGGGTATTTTTAAATGAAACCGTTTTACAGTGCATATTCTAATGGTACACAGCTCCATTTTCTATCAATTTTCTCAATTTCAAAGTTTTTCTTGTAAATATATTTCTCACATTTATAATAGTACAAAATCTCATTTTTAACTCCTTCAAATGAAGGAATTTGTTTTAAACATCTTTTTCGGTATATGTGCTTCTTTACAATACATGTTATCAAATTTACAATGTTATAAAACATAAAATAATTTCCAACAATTATGTCTAATTTATTCATTGCAATATCAATTCCAGATAATTCTTATATCCAATCATGATTTTTTTCCCAGATCTCACTAACATATTCACATTCCCAAAGTAAATGACCCAGTGTTTCTTGGTGTACATTACAAAAAGTACACAATTCTGAGTCTACAATCCCAATCTTGTTTAAAAATGTGTTTGTTGCAAGAATTCTGTGCATAATGCGATATTGGAACCATCTTATTTGCATGTCATTTGTGACTTTAAATATAAGACTATTTTTAATCTTCCACCAACTACTGTTTACATCTAGATTAAACTCCTTTTCCTTTTATTTCACATTTAGGTTTTTCCAACTGATTTAAAAAAAAACATTATGGTAGTCTTTTGAGCCCTTTTTACTTTTTCTTATTGTTTGGCAAAATTGTGAGTAAACAGGTCAGTTATTGACAATAAAATTCATATTGTAATACAGATCTAGTTTCTTTATACTATTTATAATCCCATAGTACAAAGTAAATAGTGGATGAAAATTGTACCGGTTACAGAACTCTTCATAACACATCAAATCACAAGTGCAATTTTAAATATCTAATATGTAACACACACCTTTATCAAACCATTGTTTATAAAATATACTTTTGGTATTGATACATATTGATTCATTAAACCATACAGGACTCAAGATACATCGAGTCTCAATACATTTTCTTAATTCTAAAAATGCTGAAAAAACATCAATCCAAAAAATATTTGTACTAATCTTAATAAGCTTTTGCAAAAAAGAAAGACCAAAAACTGTTATCTGTGATCCTTAGGCAAAGTTTCAATTATCAAGTGTTTCCTGTGACTCACATGTATCATCATAAAATCGGCGAACCCATGTAACTTTCAGACTTTTAGCAAAAGTTT